TATTACTAAAAACTTGAAAGTGCTAAAACCCAAAAGAGCAAAATGTCGAAAATAATTATTTTTTTAAAAGAAAAAAAATTTTAATCAATGTAATCATTGCAAAAAGAAGTAAATTGCAACGCATTAGATGGTTACGTAAAATTTTAGCCACCCCGATCAATGATGTAATTGGTTTCGTCAATGGAAAATGATATTTGTATTCGTCCAATGGGAAGTGGTGGTGGAATTAGTAAACCCGTCCATTAGGTGTCCTCTGCTACGCTCCAGACAATAATGATGAATGTGTAATCTAAAAGTCAAAAAGTATTTGAAAAATTAGAAATCAGAAATCAGAAGCTTTTTTTTTTTTTTTTTGATGGTCTGCAAATTTTGCAAAACCGCAATAATGAGAAGTGGCCGATAATTTATAATTTTATTGTGATAGAATAACTTACAGAGCAGTAAAAAAACTTTTTGGCATATTTAAGACTATACTTACAGACTAATTTAATACATATCAGCGGATCGGCGTAATTTTGCCTATTATTTTATTATCATCTGACCAACAAGCCACCCTAAAATCATAATAAGCTGAGCGTCAACCTAATTTCCCATCGCCAAAAGCTTATAATAATCTGAGTGTCAAACCAATCTCTTGCCTGTATGTGTACTCCGAAAGTTCTGAAAAGTTAAGTACTTTCACATATGAGTGCCGCCAAGAGAAACCTGCCATCGGTGTTTCAAGTTTATTGCTTACCAGACTAAATCTATTTGATTTGTTAGAGATTTTGTTTGGGTAAGTTATAAATTTAAAACCCCGATGGCAGGTTTTTCTTGACTGCACTCATATATAACAACAAAAAAAAAATAAGCACTTTGGAACATAATGGAAAATCAAATTGCATCAAACTTTTCATGCCCATCGTGTTCAAGCAAAACATTTAAGACACTCAAAGGGTTACATTTGCATCAGAGTAGAGTTCACAAACAAAATAGCAAAATTTTTTACTGATTCTTCACATATTTACTGCTCTTTATGTCCAGGAAAAAGCTATAAGAATCTACAAGGGCTAGGTCAACACGAATCATTGATTCACTCTAACTATAATATTCCTTGGGTTGGTTTAATACCTCAACTACTTGAAGCAATTTCCAAATTTAAGAAAACATGGGTATTTTTAATTCAAGACAAATTAAAAAATGGGCATCAGCAACAAAAACAACATGTAAATGTACCATGCTTGGAAAGTTTATTTGTAGGAATTTTTTATGGTAATATTAAACAATATTCACCAAGCTGCAGATTTTATTATTTAGTGGGGTAGGAGCATATGAATTATTAGGTCAAATCTTTAACAATTCAAATTGGGGTGTTTGTGAATATAAAAATCAACAACAAACTTGGGTGGTTTTAGTATCTCAAGATATGAATCAAATGCAACTGAAAATGGAAATTCAATAGAGACATAGGCAAATAAAAGATGAAGTGAATCATGTTTAGGAAGCAGGTTATATATTTCTAAGTTTTACAATAGATCAAATTTATTATTAATAATGTAATTAATATTATGTTATAAATTTATATATTAGCAATAAAAATTTATTTAAATATAATCAAAAATAGAAATTTATTGAAAATATAAGCAAATACAAGCTATATATCTTTAAGCTTTGTAGTTAATCAAATTTATTATTAGAATTAAATTTAATAATACAGTGGTTATTCATAATTTGTAATTTTAATTGTTCTATCTTTTTTAAAGTAAGAACATTGTTAACATAAAAAAAAAGTGATCTATTTTTATAATCCATTATTTCTACAAGTGCTGAATTTTGGTTCTCACCAATTCCACTATCCTTTAATGCTTTTTGAAAAAATAAGAAACATGTTGATAGTTTTTTTTTCTACAGCAGAGCATGAAAATGCATATAAGCTGAAGTCTTTATGTATATAAAAAATTCTGAAATATGAAATACCAGAGTATATATATAAGGAGTTATATCATTAGGTCTATATAAGCCTTTAATAAATATTAAAGAATTTGGATTTCTAGAAGAATGTGTTAAAATAAGTTAAGCCAATCTAATGCTTTTTTTTTAAATTCAAATCCAGATACTCAAAATTGATGTATATCTTGATATAATTTATTAAATCTATTCCATAATTGATGTATTTGTAAAGCACTTAGAATTTTTAAATAAAATATTTAAGTTAAAGTTTTTTAATACTTTAAGTTTATCTTTACCATTTAGTAAAGTTGATTTCCAAGTTTTACTTTCTGAATCTTCCTACTAATGAAAATTGACTTGAATACATTTCATTTCTTGACTAATATCTAAATAAGCTTTAATATTTGTTTTTATTTGTATTTTAATTATTAAAAGTTGCTATAAACAATCAGTTATTTGTAGCATAATATGTGATAGTAGAATCATGTAAAACAATAGTAAATGTTCATAACCAGGTATAGTTAAATAATTATAATATATATTTAACATATTTTTTGAAATATTCCAATCATATATTTGATCTTCATTTTGATCTTTGTGAATAGTACACCAAAAGCAATAGTGATTAAAATTTGCTACTTTATAGCCTATACATATTGCTAAAAATTTCCAATTAGCAGAAAAAAATAATTGGATTTGCCATTTTTGACCTTGTTTATTCTAATAACTATTTATAATATTATTTAAATCTTTAATTAATAGTGCCAAAGCTATATTTAAAATATTATATCTTTTTACACCAGGATAAAGTATAAGAGTATAATAATGATCTGGACAATATATATTTAAATAATTATTCAATAATATAAAAGTAACTATAACATGCTTTATTTTATGGCCTACATTTCTGCCATCACTAGAGATTCGAATATGCAATATAGGATTATTGTAATTAATAATATCTTGTTCTAATAGTGTAGATATAATATAATCAAAAATATCTTTAATTAATCAGTAAACATCTTTTCTATTGATTTGGTTACTTTATAATTTCAGTATCATCAATTATATTTATATCTATTTCTAAATCATCTTTATTATCTATTTCTTGTATTAAATTTAGATTAATTAAGTGAATTGGAATTAATTTATTCATTTGCTGATTAATTTGTTGGTGCATATTAGAAATAGCTCATTTTTGTAGTAAGTCATATCCAATTGCTGCTATTAATTGATATACTTGTCTTGAAATTTTTTCACTATCCATTGCTCTAATAATTGCTTGTATTTTAAGTTTAATACTTTTATTATTTATTTTCTTATAATTAGTATAAAACTTTTGTAAATCAACTATAAAACTTAATCTCTTAAAAGTTATTTTATCTTGACTATTAAAAGTCTGTATTACTTGTTGTTCAAATAAATTATATAATTTTTTACTGAATTCTGTACTATGTTTTAGCTGCATTGAATTGCTAAGATCTGAGAATGATTTGTAACTTCTTGGTGTTTAATATTTATCATGAATTTCACTAATTTGTTTTAGCTATAATCCAAAGAAATATATACTATTTAATTTAGTTTTTTTAACTTTTGTTTCTGCCCAGCTTTTTTTTCTTCTTCATCAGCAATTAATTTATTATAATGTTTAATATAAGATGTGGCTGAATCAAATACACTAGATCTTGAAATAACAACTTTGGTATTATTATTATATGTAAACTCAACCTTAAATTTAAGTATATTAACTTGATAATTAATTGAACATAACACAGTTCATTGTGCTTTTTCTCTACTACATATAATTTCAACTATGTAATTATATAAAATTTTATATTGATTTGGTTTTAATGCATAAGCAAGAATATTTGTGCAAAGATAAATTTCTTCTTAAATAATATGATATATGAATTTATTACTAGATGTTTTAGCTTCAATTATGGAACTTTTTGGATAGTTTTTTTGTTTTAAACATTTTGGTATTTGTCAAATGTAAATATAAAAGAATAACTATTAATCAAAGTTTTAAAAAAAAATTTAAATCATAGATATTATATAGCAAGTATTTTAAATTTTTTTTAAACTTTATTAATGATTTTAACTATTGTATATTATGTTTTAAAATTATATATCATTATGATATCATCTTTATTTCAGTACTATATATTAATATATAATAAATTATAATATCATTTTTATTTCAATACTATATATTGATATCAATTGACTGACTCATATTGACTATAATTCAATATTTTGTTGTGATTATACAAATCTACAGATATGATAAATAATTAGAGTTCTAATATTCGATGTCTATCAGATAATTGGATCTGAATCTATTTGGATAGCTATTTACTATCAATTTACTATTGATATCAAATAATTAGATAGATGAAATTAGATGGAAATAAGTACTATTTATTTTTTTTACAATATTTAAAGTAAGAGATAAATTTATATAAAATTGTAGCAGTGTTTTTTTTCTTAATTTATAAATTTCAAAAATTATCATTATACAACTTCATAAAGTATTAATAAATGTGTATATATAACCAGAACTATATAGTATGAATTAGTGTTAAAATTCAGCATTAAAGTTGTGAGCAGACTGCACATTATTTATAAATCTTAGTGTGCTACAGCATACATAAAATTTTTTTAAGTGTGTACAAACTAATAGCTTCAATATTTATATAAATTTATTATTTTGCATGATTATTTTATTACAGCAAAAAAACAATTTAATATATTGTTATTAATTATCAAATTATGTAATATAATCTAATTTATTAATTTAACTAGTGTATTAACTAATTTTATCATATTGTAATGTTAATAACAATAAGTAGAAAGTGCCCAATAATTATAAGCTTTTTTGAAATCAAAAGAATTTTAAGAAGAACAAATATAATTTAATTTAAATTCTTACTAATACTAATAAGTATCAGCAAAAAAGCTATATAAAAATCTTATTTGGATTACTAATAAGCGTTAGCAAGAAAGTTGCATAAAAATCTTTATTTGAATTACTTATACTAATGGGTATCAGTAAGAAAGTTGCATAAAAATGTAGCGCATATCAGGATTTAAAACATATATGGAATTAAAAATTTTAATATATACACTTTATTCATAATTTTGAAGCATATAAGCACAAAGTGCTCCTATTGTTGATCTTTAAAATGCAGAAAATTTTTTAATATATGCTCTGCCCCTTCTGTACATTAATTTTCAACACTGGTATGGATATATAAAAATGCCTATTTTAAAAACCATGTCGTAAGTTCTGCTATAATTTCTAACATTAATATCAATATATATTACCAGATCAATATAGTCAAATTTTAAAATAGGGCTATTTCTGTATGGACCAATCTTTTGTATTTTGGAGGATAATCAGATTTTACCTATAGCCATGTGACTCAAATATTTTTACATGAACAATCATTTTATTATAAGAGAATTATCATTTAATTTTTTAATAATCACCAATCAAACATTCTGCTAATATGATTTAAGTCTATATATGCAAATGGTGAATTGAAATTGTAACAAGATCAAATTTAAAAGATATCTTGAATATTTGCTTTGCGAACTAGTTTTTATGTTTTATATGTCAATTATTACTCTTTTCAATTTAGTTAGATTGATGATTTGCATAAATTTTTTTGAGGATTTTCTTAAAGAATTGATATTTGAGAAATTACTTTTCCCAAAGTTTTTTATTCTTAAAAAAAAACATTGTTTATTAAAAGAAAATGAAATAATGAAATTTTTTTTTAGTAATTATTCTTCTTATGTTTACAAACTTGAGATTATTATAAACTTCTTTATCAGAACTATATGAAAATAACTATTTGAATTCTTCTAAATTAAATAAATATATAGGTGCTGTTACTTTAGAAATATTCTTTAGTGATTCATTTCTTAATGCAATTCAAAATTATTCAAATAATTCTAGAGGAAATTTCTAAATTTTAGTATGACTATTATATACTTTTGCAATATTTATTTGCAGTTTATCAAATTTATATTGACAATTATCAACTAATCAAAAAGATAGGAGAGAATGGTCATAGTTACATGCCATGTGCTACAAACCTGACTGATAATATGGGTCAGAAATCGAAAAGAATATCAGACTTCAGAAATTTTATGAGAATAAAGTGACATAAATTAGTATTTAAAGAAGTGACATAACTAAAAGTCACCAACAACAATCAGTATTTAAAGAAGTGACAAATAACTGATTTACAATACTCATTTTTCTTTCAACAAACCAAGCATTAAAACTGTTTTTTTGTTCTTGACCTAACCCTTCCTACCACATATTGTAGTCTCTTGATTCTGCCATTTTTCTATTTAACTGCTGGCCTGCTTCAAGCAGTTTAAGCAGGCAGAAAACTACCAGCTAATGCTGCTTCTTACTCATTCTACTGTTATGATAATACCTGGGTGCAATCTCACTTGCTAATTTTTCCAGGAGCATATCATCATTTTAGTTCAAATTACTTAGCTCAAATCACTTAGCTCAAATTATGCAGCTCAAATTACTCACAATGTATTCTGCAGACTTAAAGTCCTTTAATTAAATTTATTTCTGGCATCTTTGGTGTACTAGTATTATTCAAATAACATGACTATTTGTACAGTAAGTGCAAAATTAACGGCTGAAGATTTTTTCATAATAAAATATATAAAAAATTGAAATTTATAGAACATATAAAAGTCCACATTGTTTTTATTAAAAATTTTTTTTAATATAATTAGTAAATTCAATATTTATACTCCAATAATCTGTAAGTTTCGTCAGGATAGATGAATTGGAATGATTTTTTTAAAAATTATGAAGTTTATAATTCAAAATTTCATATATAAAACATATAAAATTTGTAAATTTGACTTCAAAATTAAATATAAAATTTTAAAATTTTTTTTAAAAAGGTTTAACTATAATTATTAATAGTATGACTATTATACTTTAAAGACGATATAAAATAAAAAATTATTTTTATAAAAAAATAAAAGTTTTAATATAACATAAAATTTGCAATTAAATTTAACAAATTTTACTTAGTAAAAACATAGTAAAAATGTGAAAAGTTAAAATTGGTAAAAGTCCAAAATTTTAAAAACAAAAATTTTTAAATTTAATACGATTAGAAAATTTGATGTTTATATTTTATAATGTATAATTTTCACACAGTTCAAAAAAAAAAGTTTTTTTTCTGATCACAAAATTTTCTAAAAAGGATTTTATATATGTTTACTATAAAATTGATTTTCAGGCGTTACTTTTGCCATCTACTGTTTCGATGCAATGATATTTTCATTCAAAACTCCATTATGGCGCATTTGCGAAATACTCCAAAATCCAAGAAATTTGACTACAAGTGATGAGTCAATTTAATTGACTGGATATACATAATTTATTTATCATTATGCCAATTTAATTGATATCGATATTACATATTTATTTTATTATTTAACTATGATATAGTATTTATTTTTATGATTTAACTATAATATAATAATTAAATAAACATGTATTTTTTAGTTAACAAAGGATTTATCGTTATTAACTTTTCAAAATTATTATTCGAAATGAAGGAGAAAATTCAAATTATCTCATAGATCGCACGTTTAAATGGAAGTCACCACGAAGTTTTCAATATTATATTGTAAAGGAAGGTATGTTTCATAACGACTCCATCCACTCTTTTTCTTAAAAATCGTATTTGGGCTAAGTTGGCATGAAAAAAATTTATTCGAAGAAATATTAATAATCTTTTTGCTACGATGCACTTTTTGATAATGTATCTTGAGACCAGGGTGACTTTTAAATTTTTGTTATCACATAAAGAACATAAAACACTTTTAGTGTTACTATCAATCATTTTTTTTAGAAAATGAGTTGTAATGGTGGGAAAATGGGTTAGACGCATTGTTATTATAAATTTGAAGGGCCAAAAATTTTGTCCGCAGTTTAATTTTAATCAATCAATAATAAATTTGGTGTCCAAATTTTTAGTTTTGGTGACCAAAAATTAGCTAAATTTCTCAAACGCGCCGTAATGCTATTCAATTTGGTTCTGGAGAATGCACAAACTCATCAGACTAAGAAAATGCAATAATACAAATCATTATTTTTATTCTCCTTTACGTGATTCACTGTGTTTTAAAGACAATCAAGCAGAATTTTGCTTGGTTGATTCTGCTGCAAGTATTTATGGAAAATCTGTTTCTACCTCTAATCACTCTGATACCTTTTATAAACCTTTTTGTACCCTATGTAACAAGGCTACTGTTAATACTTCCTTTAACTTTATTTACACAAGTGAAAATGCTCAAAAGTTAATTTCTAATAAAAAAATAGATATTACAGGTTATTAAAGAATTGATCGCTGTAACTTGTGGTAATAGTATTATTACCAAAATGGTAAATTACAGGCTTGAAATCAAAATTATTGTTTATGTAAAACTAATTATTGTTTCTTTTAATGTAATAATAGATGGTACAGTTATTGATCCATTAACTGGTCAAACTATACTTCCATTCTCTGTCTACAAACATCCAGTGATCCGAGTTACTGTCACGGATTTAAGCGATATACTAACAGTTTAGCACCGAAATCTAACCAGATAGGGATCTAACGAACACTCGCTTATTTATACCCCACATACTATTACATAGCTTATTTAATTCTATTATACTGTATATAGTTCTGTTATGCATAATTACTTTAGCATTGATCGTCGCTTTTACTTCGAGTTACATCACTCACGTGACAGTCATATGTTTTACTCTTATTTACTTGATTTATTAAAAAATTTTAGTTTAATAATAAATAATCAATATTTAATGAGTCAAAGATTTTTTAAACACTATAAGATCCCTTGTAATTTACCTCTGTCCTTGATTATACAATACAAGCCTTTTTTAACACATTTTTTTACTGAATAAGTAAAGTCTTTTAATTAATATTAATTAAATTAATAAAAACACACCAAGAGCAATCTAGGGTCTTTCTTTGACTTGAAAATCACCTTCTGACATTTTCCGATCAGGCTAATTCGGACAAAAACAAAGTCGTGTATTAGTTCATGTTTATATGTAAACTCCTTTTGTCTTTATGGTTCAATAGCTTATAGAATAAAGTTTCGAATCAATAAAGGCAAAAAGGGATTCAAATATAAACGTGAACTAATATACGGATTTGTTTCGTTCGAATTAACCCGATCAGAAATGTCGGAGGGTGATTTCAAGGAAAAGACACATATAATATTAATGCAAAAATATTTTTGTCCTGTGATTCTCAGTTAAGGATTTTAAGTTGCAAGCCCGATCTAGTCTGATTAGAAGCATCAACAATTGGGTTACGTATTATTTCACCGACAATCACTTCGCAGACAGCTTAGTTTACCGACAATTAATTCACAGACAAGTTCATTTCATCGACAATTATTTTACTGCAGCACATTTCACCGACAAATATTTTTTATAAATTACACCAACTTTAACTCTAATTATAACCTGACACTAACAACAATGACCAGAATTACTATGTCGGTGAAATGTTGTCGGTAAAATGAACTTGTGTGAATTAATTGTCGGTGAACTAAGTTGTCGGTGAAATGCGCACCACCCAACAATTGTATGTGTGGTTTTTCAACTCAAAACGCTTTACAAATTTCAAGTTTTTCCTTTTAAGCTTTTGAATTTTATTTTATTTATTTATTTACTTTTTTTCTTTTCGAGGGAATTTATTTTTTTTAAAAAAAAAACAAAAACAGTCATTAAAAATAATTGTTTATATAAATATGTATATTAAGGTTTGGAGAAAAATAAAAATATAAATAATATTGCTGCAGAATGGTGTTCCGAGGTTCTAGTTCGGGTCGAACCAGAACCCAAAAAGGTTGCAAATCTCGAACCTGAATCTGAACTTGAACATAAAGTTGCCAAACCTGAACCAGACTCAAACATGCTATTGACTCAATTCAGGTCCAGTTCAAAGTTTTGAACAAGTTCAGGTACGGGCCTTATATAATACTTCTTTGACATTCTCCTTTTCTGTCCCTTCCTTTTTTTTTCAACATTTACCCTTCACTAATATTTACTTTTATGACATTTACTTTCCCCAATATTTACTTTTATGACATTTACTTTTCCCAATATTTATTTTCCTGATACTCGCTTTTCCCCAACATTTGTTTTTTTCTAACACTACCTTTTCATGACATTTTCCTTCCCTGTCATTTACCCTTCCTTGATATTCCCATACCATGCCCTTTTCTTTTTCTGCCGTTCCTCCCCATGATATTTACCGACGTTTTCTCTCTCCTAACATCTTCCCTTACCTGCTATAAGCTGCACCAACATATTAATTATTACGTATTATTACCCATTATTATAGACTCCATTCAAATTATTAGTTTATTAATCGGTTTTTACAGTATATTATTATTAGAACTAGTGATGGCATGCGCATAAATTTTGAGAATCAAGCACGTGATTTTTGTAGGCACATTTTAATGAGCCCTGTACTGTAAGTATAACTAGACAAATCTTTTTTATTAAAATATTAAATAGATATATCTAATTCTTGTTAAAAAACCTGTAATTATAATAAAATAAAATAAAAAACCTCCGAGTTAAAATTTTTAATGCCTAAGAAACCTCATATAGCTATTTGTGCCAAAAATCTGATTTATATCAAAAAATATCATAAGTATATCAAGTAAAAAAATAAATATTTAATACCAGATATTTATTTTTTAACTGATATACTTCTGATATTTTTTTGATATATGCCAATAGTTAGCTATCGGGTATCGCATATTTATGCTTTGAACCTGTGTATATCAATACGTATTTTATGTTATGAAGATGCTGCCGTCATGACATCATACAAAGTGAAGAGTAGTCTGTGACAGGTTAAGCCCAGGGACGTGTGGATTTTGTGATTTGCTGTGATCGAAGCAAATCACAAAAATTATGTGGTTTACTGCGATTTGCTTCGATTATAGAAAATGCACTTTTCAAGCATACACGATGAAATTATTAGCAAATATAATAAAATATTTTATATTTCAATAGTTCAAAGAAATAAAAATATCATAGGCTATATATTTGCGCATAAAAACCAAAATTTTTTTTTAGTGCAACTTTTTTTTGAAATAATGGAAGTTTTTATTAGATAGATTTTTAAATTTTATACAAATTCGGACTTTTATTGTTAATCGGCAGTAAATCAAATAATTTACTGATATCGAAAACATAATTTGTTAATTTATATCGCCAAATCCACATGGCTCTGATTTACTGTAACTAGATACTAGCGGTGCGACGTCATCAGGAACGGAAGATCTAAACAAAAGACAGAACCAATGCATCTGATACTATAAATTTGCACATAGTTATGATGCATTCCAGCGCTAATAGCGCTGGATATTCAAACTTTATTAAAGAGTTATAGCATACATCATACATCAGTACGTTTGATGTATAATTGAAAGAGATATATACTGTAGCATACATCAGTGCGTTGATATATAATTGGAATTAGCTAATGGTTTCCCACCCGAATAAATACAGGACGGCTGTTAGCCAGAAGCTTTGTAGTCACATGATCTTAGCTCTCCTGCATAACGCAGGCCGGCTGTAAGGAGATATTTAAGCTTCCACAAAATGGCAGGATTCTACTGAGCGAGGGTAGAGCAGGGTGTGAAATTGATTTTTCTCTTGAAGGGGCTACTGTGCCGCTTTTCCGGTTTATATCTGTACGTTATTGTCATACGTTCCAAATTTGGATATTAGTATTCACGTTATAAGTTCCTAAAGTAATTTCATTTAATTTATACTTATCTTCCCCTTACGTACATATACCGGATTCCCTTGTTGGAGCCAGATCATCCATGTGATCGTCGCTTGCTAATGCATCACAGCTTAGCAGTCTTTTCTATCTGTTGACCTACTGTCGACAGCAGTCATGTGAGTTTTAGCCAATCATCGCTATAAGGCGGTTTGAAGTTACAATTTCATTTAACGTTCTCCCCCCACTGCCCCCTCTGAAATTAAACAAGCCAATCAGAATGCCCGCTACATCTTTAAGATTTTAGTAAATCATGTGACTACAAATCAACCAATAATAATGGTGATTTTTTTTGAAGTGTTATATAATGGTTGTTTAATTTGGCCCCCTCCCCCCTCTGCGCTTAAGCTTTGGAAGGAGCGTCAAACGAAATTATAACTTCAAATGGCCTAACATGAAAACAATCATTACAGTAAATACAGTAAATAAAATAACCAATCATCTAATAGCTCTTTACATTAGTGTTAGGATGAGAAAGTTTGTAATCTAAAATCTTCTAACAGCACTTTATGGTTAGTAGAGTTCCAATTTGGTTAAATCCATCGTCCATATCTGAATCATCCGGATAACTCAGATCGCTCAGATATCTGGATAATCCGAAAGGTATTCTCCAGATATCAATAATAAACAGATAACTAGGGTGCAGGACGGGCCGGGTCGGTTCAGGCCTGCTTAGACCCGAAATTCAGCCCAAAAATTATTGTAAGCCTGAAACTGGCCCGAAAAAAAACCCCCGTGAAATAAACCGGGCCGGGCCTTATTTAAAAACATACCCGGCCCGGCCCGCAGATTTATATAAAATTTTATTGTTTTGTCTGTTTTGTCTCGCTATCAATCTGATGCCCCTTTCAAACATGATACAGAACAAATACTATATAAAGGAACTGCGCCACAGACAGACGCGTTGAAGATCAAAATTTTCAATATATAAATTTTTTGTTTTTTATTATTTTTTAAAAAACAAACCATTTAAAAAATAGAAAAAAAAATTAAATTACTGGTAGGGTTGCCGTATCACAAAAGGTGGCTTGGTGATGTGTAGTATGGTCGCTCATATTAAATCCCATCAGCATCGACAAATCAGTATCATGACTAGTGTTGGCGGCAGAATTAATTTGACAAGTTAATACGGTTACGGCTAGGGATGGGTTCGGTCAGCTATAATCGACTATTGACTAGTAGCCAGCTATAGCCAATAAATTACTTGATCAATTTCTTAATTAATTTTTCAATGAGACATATAAATAAGACAGTTATACATATAAGAGTACCCTAGCTAGTGATGTGCCGCGTACAGTACTATACGTACAGTACTGTACGTACTGTACGCTAAAATTTTTGCCGATCACTTGTTCCAGCCAATCAGATACCAGAAATGAACTATACGAACAGTACGTACAGTACGTACTGTACGTACTGTACGCTAAAATTTTCCAGGTATCATATAAATGGCACATCACTAACCCTAGCCATGGCGAAAAAAAAGTTCGGGTCACATGTTGTAAACAGCCAATCAAAATAATCAAAATATTGAAGATCCGATCTACATTTTCAAAGATTTCTCTGTAACTACTTGATTAAACACAGTAAACCTTTTTTTTTTAATTCTAAACTTTAAAATAAAAAAATTTTATCGAAATTTGATAGATGGTTGTTGAGAAATATGAAGTTTACAAAAATATCAGTACTGTAAATTTCTTTTTTTAAGTCAAACGAAGATTTCTAACAACGATTGATTCAAATTTTTTTCATTTAATTCTGTAAGTTTATATAAAGTAAAATAAAAAATTATTGAAATTTGGGTACATTTTGCAAACTGTTATTTATAATTATCAAAAAGATTGCTCGATTATTAGATAAAGCATGCCTGTCTTTCACTATCTTACAATAAAAATACCTTAGCTGCTGTCGCACCATTTTTATCACGGCAAGTTCTCAATTTTAATTAGCTAAGGCCGTTTGAAGTTAATTTTTCGGTTAACATCACCCCTCACCCCTCCCCTTTGGCGTCCCCCAGTAAAATGAACATATAAAAAATTAAAAATTAAACATTAGATGGGGTGCAGTTTCGAATTTCGGCCTAAATTAAGTTTAATTCAGGCCGAAATTCGAAATACTCCCTATGTGCTATTTCACAGTTATACGGCAAATATAAAATAAAAATTAATTTAAAATAAATTAAAATAAAATAAAATAAAATAAAATAATTTAAAAATAAATTAAAATAAATTAAATTAACCCGAATTTAAAAATAAAAAAATAAAAAATAAATTTTTATTTTTAAAAAAAAAACGAGAAACAATTCAGTTCCCACTTGGCTGTCCTCTCATATATGTTTATTTCAGTTTGTGATG